TGAATTACAAAAGAAATGCCAATTCCACCTACTCCATTTTATAAAGTAAGTTACTAACATTTTTATTTCCACAGGTTTTTCGTTGTTATTGTTGGCATTTTTTTCTTTTCGTAGAAGGGAGTTTTATAAATAAACTTATACTTTTATCAAGAAAATCGACTACTTGAGACTCTGAAGCACCAATGATGTTTCAAGAACATATATTTTTAGGCTCTTACAGATTATCCAGGTATCTTGGCTTATGATGAAAAGCTATAGGACTTCCATTTGAATAAGGCACTATCAGTTTCTCTGATAATCATATTTCATTTATTACAAAGTCTCAATATATATGTTTTATTAGTCATCTAGCTACATGAGAGATTTACTTCCAGACTAACCAGCACATTATCATTGAAACTGTAATAAATGTATAAATAGTTTAGTCTTTAATATACATGTTGTCAAAATGCAGAAAGATTAAATTGATAAATCTTTTCCCATTGCATCTTTTGCATTTTCGTGGATCATAAGCAACTGTCAAGCCTCTGGAATTTCATAAAATTATCACCCTATCAAAAATAAAGTTACTTATCTGACATCCTTGGCTTTTCTCCTACAGAGAAATACCTATGAGAATACACTTTAGGATATCAAATACGCTTTAGACTGAGAGGAGCTGCAGTGGAATAAAGAGGAAAGTGGAACTGGGATTGTCTGGGACAGTGTGACATGCATGGAGGTCTGTTATCTGGCAGGTACACTTACCAGTACATCAAAAGTCTTCATTTTGAGAGGTGCGTCTTAACTTTTAAATATCTTTATATTCCTTATGTTGGCAGAGTATTTATTGGCAAGCATTAGTTCACAAAGAGGAGAAAGGAAGGAAGGAAGAAGGAGACAGGGAGGGAGAGGAGGAGACTATATGGGATCAGGATTCTCAAAGACAACAGGACTGCACTATCTCTGTCCATCAAAACAGACTTATGAAGAGATATAGACAACTCAAAAAAGTTGGCACTGCGGAAGAAGTTCTATGAATTACTCCTATCCTCCCAGGATCTGGCTGGCCAAAATCAGGAAGCTACCCCACAGACACTAACCTCAGAACCAGCAGGCCAGGCCACTGCCTTGAGGTACTCCAGAGGATAAGTGTTCTGTGCTCACGCAGTGTCCCTAGGGAAAATTTTGTATGGGGAAGGCTGAAAATACAGTTTTTGTTTTGTTATTATTATTATTACTGTTATTATTTTTAGAAATGTATGTTTTTACAATGTGGAATATGTGCAAAGAATAACTTAGAGGAAACACAAATAAAAGCCCAATATGGAATATGTTGAATATTCTAAAACATGAAAGTTTGAGCATTTATTCCAGAAAGAGGGAACAACCTTAAAGAAAGTGGCATTGAGCCAGCATATTTGCTCAAAATGATCAGCAAAGCTATTTAAAATTTTGGTTAAGTTTTCTCTCTTTCCCCTTAGTTTTTCAAAAAATCCTTTTTAAAAATGAGAATTTTTAATTCCTCAATATTTTTACCATTGTATAAAATAAAAATTACTCTGACATGATAATCCACTCTTGCCTTAACACCATTTAATCACAGTTTCTATTCTTGACTTTATACAGAATGGAGATGGTTCAGTTCTGTGTCTCCCTCCACTGCTCTGCAAGTATCAATTCTTCATAGCCTATTTCTCCAAACTGGAAACAGGCAGTTTTTACAAAAAAAATAATTCTTCTCAACATATTGTTAAAATTATTTATTTGGCATGATTTTTATTTGAGTGGCAACACCAAAACAAAAATAAAACCCATGTTTTCTAATATCAAGAAAGAAAAGTACATATCTGAAATAAAGAAAGTATTTTTCTTTAAATTGATGCAGAATTCTTGATGAATTAATTGCACAAGGAAATCAAAATATTAGAGAAACTAAAAATACTAAATTATTTGGATATCTCTGAAATAAAAATTTTAATTAGAGGGATGACAATCCAAGTGAAACCATCTGAAATTTTTCTTGCCCCTTAAAGTAATGAGGAATAAAATTTACTCCCTATGGCAGAAAGTAGAATATTTTCTTCTTTGATGTAAAACAAGACCATATTTTCTAATCCCCTTAAATTTAGATGGAAGCAGGTGGCAAGTTCTCCTCAGTAGATTGTGAATAGAAGTGATATGTTCCAAGTTCAGATTGAAGTAAAGAAGTGGGTGTGCTTTTTTCCCCTTCACTTTCTCTTTTTTGGCTGCTGCCTCTGTGTGCAGACTGGCCCTGAAGAATAACAAAGCTATTAAGATGAATCTCTGAAAGGCCACATGGAGCAGAGTCCCTGCCGACTCACTGGATTTTGTAGTGCACAGAAAAGAAATTGTTATTATTTTAAGCCTGTAAGGATTTTTAGAATTGTTTTTCAAAGCGGTTAACTTATGCTGACTGATATCCTTGTTTAAACACAGCATGCTAAGAGACAAAGCAGTTAAAAGTTTGGTCTAATGATTATTGAAATAAATCTCTAGAACTCAGTATGGAGCCGCTCCTTCCTGGGGAGCCATGTCAGCAAACTGAAGTTGAGATAACTTTTGTGTCCCTGCAAATGCTGTGCTGGACCAGATACGCAGTACACTCAGGCAGCCAGTCCCCCAGCACCAAGGGAACTCTGGGCTTTAAATTCATCTTTCTCTTCCCTCCCACCCAAGACAGGGCTGACTGTGTGATCCCAGACAATGACGTATTTTCTACTTTTCTCTTCCTTATTTTTTGTCCTATAAAAACTTTCTACCTTCCACCTCATCTTGCTGTTCTCCAAATGGAAGTGTCCACTTCATGAAGCATTAAATACTGGGTTTCTTTGTGTCACCTAAACTGCCTTCTTTAATCATTTTTAACACTATCAAGGTTTTCATGATTCATATTTCTATGAAAGCACATGGCAAGTTGTAAGGCATTTTGCAAAGTTAATGTTATTATTAACACTAATTAAAATATTAATAAAAACATCAATAAAAATATTGAATTCAGTATTTCAATTATATTTTGGAATGGAAGCTGGGAAAAGGAATGAATACAAAAAAATTCCCTCAAATCTGAATTTCCTGAAAAGTAATCTTTGTTGTAGAATCATGAAAGTTTAACTTCCCAATATCTAATAGCTACATTTATTAAGAAAAAGTAGACTTACAAGAAAATGTAAAACATAAATAATTTAAAAGATATAACAAACTTAAATCTTAATATTTTTCCCCAATGCACTTTTATTTAATTTGCAGACTGTAGTCCTCTAGTCAGAAGCAGTGTCTCAGAGCTCAGCAGAGCCACGGGAACTTTCTCGCCACTCCAGTCTAATTTGCAGTTTTGCTATAATAAAATCCCTAAATATATTGCTACTGTCTAGACTTTTTATCTGAAACAAGTGTCCTTTGTAGTCTCAGAGGACTTTTTATTTCCAGTAAATCAAAGTCTGTGAAGAGCTTCGGTTCTTATTAAGACATACCCTTCACAGTCCAGTGATTGCCCACAGTGGCAAGCCATTGACAGTTCATTTACATATAAGTGATGGCTTCCATCGGGTAGTTGGCTCAGAAACACAACGGACATTTAGAGCATATCCAATATTTCTTTTCTTTGATGAGCACCAAGTGCCAATTTTTATATGGAAACTAACTATTGAAAAGTAAAAGCTCCTTTTCCCTGACCTTACACTGTCTTCTACAGCGAGAGAATGACTTCCTGTCACTGCACTTATGTAAAATCACACCCCTAAGTGACATCTAGTAGCCCTATTTCAGTTTGATAAAAATCAAGAGTAATAGTCAAATATAGGAAACATAAGACAAGAATAATTACATTTTGTTAAAAGAAAAATAAACTTCTGTATACAGCACTAGTTGTCATAATCATAACTTAATGTTGGTTTTATTTTTATAAGGTAATTTTGATATTGTTTTCTCATGAACATATTTCCCACTTGAAGTGGTGGTACTTGCTACACGACACTCACTAGGAAATTCTGTACTGTGCTTTGTAAGTGCCTTTCTATCACTGTTCTTTTGCTCTCAAGTTTTTTTGAATAGTGGTGGCAAAAAAACCTTGCCAAATTCTTACCCTAATAATGCTACCAAGAGGAGACAGCTGGTGATCTGTCTCCATGCTGTACACAGCTCAGGTCTGATATTTCTCCTTTTTTCCTGTGCATTTTCCAGCTTTTTCTGGTGTTGAAATGAATACCTTTTCTTTTTACAATGAAACTCAATTACCAACTGAAAGAACATGAATAATTGAATTTCTTATAACCTAACCTCTCCATTTTAGCTGGTAATCACTTGTTTTCTCCCTATCAAATGTTTCACTACTATCATTTTCTGATTGGAGTATCATAATGATCATGAGTACAGCTCTGTTTGGGTTTTGGTGAGATCCTGACTTAACATGATCCTTATAATTGGCTTCTCCAAAGATTTCATTCTAATAATGTCCACACATAGTCTGTCGTAAACTCCACTGCACAAGGAGCCTGAGAGACTTTTTTAAAAACCAAAGTTGATTGTAGAAGTAATAGACCAGGGGTAAGAACTGTACAATTGGAACATCTGTTCTGTCGTTTCTGCCTCTATTCATACCTAGTCTTTGTGCTGCTTTTACAGTCTTGTCCTTTAACTAGTGCTCCTTCACTGGTTTTCTAATCCCACTTATAGAGGGAGGGAGGGATGACCGATGAATGATAGATAAACTTAAATTCAAGACTCTTAAGGAACGGGGGTTAGCCCTGGTGCTCCAGTCCTTCCTGAACTAAGGCAGGTAGGTCATCAAGAATACTGTATAGTGACTATCAGCTGTTTACTTCAGAGTGAGCAAGGAGAATAGGGAGACACAGTATTATGACCACACTTATAAAGTCATATAGTTTGAAGAGCATTTTGGGAAACCATTTCCAAAAGATTTAAGTGAGTTTTTAAAAATAAGGCTCTTGAAGTTACTTTATGGCATCTGTCGGTAATAGAACAAAATGACCTAAGTCCAGTGAAAGGAGCACTTGACACTGTGGTTTTAGCAGAATTTTTATGAAAAATATCCAATGAATGGTTCATCTGAAGATATAGAAAATTTACAGACTGACTTGTTCCAAATCTCTAGATATATAAAGATGCTTTGTCATTTTGCCTGTTGATATCAAATTAATCCATGGCCAGTATTAACTTATCTCTTGGGGTAGATGGGTTCAACTCTTAAGACAGCAACATTGTATTGAAAACAGTATTCTACTTCTCAGAACACCTGCTGTTGTCTCATTTTCCTTTCTCTCATAGATGTGGACACTAACTTCCCAACAATCTGGATGTTAGCTCTTTTGAGTACTGGATGTCCGCTCACTGCAAGAGGAAATATATTATTAAATTAATAAATTTCAATTAATACACCAAATGTATCATGTTTTTGAAATTACAAAATATTGCATGTAATTAAATATGTTGTGCTGGAACACAGGAAATATTTGACTGGACTGCGTTCTCTTCAGTTGTATTGCATTACATTATATACATCATGCCAAGAGTCTCAGCAGGAGTTACTGTTGGATCAAAGATTCGAGAGAGGGGATGGCAGCAGCTGGTTTCCACCAACATGCAGAGTGGTGGCAGTAAATTAGATACAACATAAGTTTACCCTGGAAATGACAGTAGTAACTTTTTTGTATTATAATATAGTCAGTTCTGATGCTGATATTGAAATCAATTTGTAACACTATTTATAATATAGATTACTTGTACTTGATCCATCTTTATGTACAAAATGACTTTCTAAATAAGAGAAATAAGTCACCGGTTTACTGTGGCTACCATTATACACAGTGCTAATTTACAGTTAGGGTAGTATATTTTGGGGACCTACTGTTTATTAATAAAAAACATAACCAACTATCAAAAAACAGTTAAAGTTATGAGAACAATTCACATTACAAAAAGGAAACGCATGACTTGTGTTGTAAAAAGAAGCAGGGTGGTGTTGCTCCTTTTAGGTTTATATTTAGTGTTAATGGACAAAGAGGGAAGGGAGGAGAGGGGAGAGGAGGGGAAGGGAGGGGACTCTAAAGAAGGAGACAGCACGGAAGTGCTCCTGTTCCCGTGAGGCTGAGTGGATAGAGCACAGCCAACAAGCTGGTCCTCAGTCTGGGGCTCCAGTTTATGTCAGTCATGGGGTACGAAACATTTCAAATAAATTTAGCATTTGTTGGGCCCTAGGAGTAAATGAAAAGCATTTCTAGAAAAAAGAAACGTTTATCAAGGTCTTTAAAATATATCATAGAAACACATTTTATCAACCCCCTATATGTTTTCAATTACATAGAAAAGCGGTATCCACAAAATGATCCCAATTTTTTAAAAAGTTATATGCATAGGAAAACACATACAGTGTTGAATACCAAAATATTAACAATGGGTGGAATTATAATTTACCTCTGGTTCTTTTAGTTTATGCATTTCATTAACAAAAGATATTATTTATACAACAATAACTATTAGAGATTTTTGAGTTTCTAGATTGAAATATATGATAGCAAGTCATTTTTGTAGATAGTAGATAAATAATCAGAAGTTAGATATTTTTGTTTATACTTCAATCATTTGAAGAAATGATTTCAAATTGGGGAACTATTCAAATAAAATGCAAAATAGGCTTAATATGTATTTTATAGGTTGTATTTTCAGAAAAGGGAAACCACATTTTTCTGAAACGTCCAAAGTAAGCATGTGCTCTCTGCATTCTTTTAAACCGCCTCCAGACTTTCATGTTCACCAGTCTACTTTATAACTTTTTATGCAATTCCCATGACTTGTGCAAGGTTATATATTATTCTACACTATTGACTACTTCCAGTGAATACTTGACAATCAACCTTTGTAGAGTAATTTGGAAAGAAAATGAACACAGAGTGTTTTAGAAAATAAAATACACCTTTAAGGTCAGTGAGTATCTAATGTATACTATTTGTTCAGGTTCATGTTAAGCACTGTGGAGTTACGTAAACGCCCTAGCTGAGACCTTTCTGGGTCCAAGAAACAAACCAATAAAAGGAAAAAACTCCAATTATTATGCTACTCAAAGAAATTTAGTTTTTTTAAAAAATGAAAGCACTTTCCTGACAAAGGATCATAGCTCTGTCTACCAGAAGAGTCTCATAGTCAATATAAAGCCAAAATACAGTCCTAGATGACAAGCAATTAAGAACATATTTCAGTAATTACACTTAATGCTAGCATATAGCAGGAGTCCAAGTTTGAACTCAAGTTGTATGCAATTTAGTGTTTCAAATGAAGGTAAGTCCAGAGCACAGGCAGAACAAACACTCTACAGATCTCTGTGTAAGCAAAAGACCAATAAGTGGTCCTGGGCAAAACCTCTCAATATGAGAAGAGTGAGCCAACCATTTCCTTCTTGATCCAATAAGATGGTGGCAGTTGGTGGGGACAAATGGTTTTAGATACTTCGAGCTGCCGCACGCTGAGGAGATGTTGCTTTGATTCTCCAGTTCCCTCTTTCCTGCTCTCCCACCCCCAGGGAGATTCTGGCCTTCCACTTCATGAGACGCGGAGCTCCCAGAGATAAAACGACAGAACCGCAAAGCTGTTTTTCCACCTCAAGCCCTTGAGGTGTGGAGAGCATGGGCGCTCTGAGGCTGAGGCAGCCGTGGTCCACAGGTCAGAGAGGTGCTTCTCCCTCTAGGAGGTTGGCTTAGGCCTGTGTGAAATCAACACACAGGGCCCACATGGGTACTGGTGGCAATGGTGTTAGTAAGACACCGGTACCAGGCTCCCCGAGCTCCAGAGTCACCACAGCAGACAGTATGAAAAAGAGCCAGGGGGTGGGTATGGAATTCTATAGTACCACCCGGAGGGTGTATTTATGATCACAGGTGAGACATTCTAGGAGAATTCCTGGAAATAACTGCTTTGACAGGGAACGTTTCAGAGACCAAAGGTTGCATGAGAGTAGGTAGAAAATCCACTGTTTTTGTGATTATATATGTATCTACAAACACGTAAGTGGGAATGTATGCAATCGGATTTTGTTTTGAGGTAATAAAGTTTGGGTCTCCCTGCTCACTCTTCCTAGATCAGGACTCTGCCAGTCAGGCAATAGTAATGGCTTTGCTGAGGGCGACTGAGAACAAATCACCTAATTTCTGGTATTTATCAATTTTGAAACAAAGAAAAGCTGTAAGTAGCTAATAAATATTCTATGCTCAGGTTTTTAAATAATAGCTCCCTCTTGTCATCTGTAAAACTGGGGTGGAGGCTTTAATAAACATAACTACTTAAAATGAGGTGAACCATTTTGTAACACTCCACCAGAAAAATCCTAGAACAAAGAAGGCAACTGCATTTCAAGAGGAGGTTTTAAAACACAAAGCAAAAGCGGTATTTTCTAAAGGGAGGCTTCCATTTGGAAGGGTACGGCTTTCCTCACAAGGTACATAGCACTTTACGGAGAAACCAGAATGTAAAGAACTGCACATGGGAAGCCCTATGGTAAGGAAAAGATAACATGAGGACCCTTCCCAACGTACAGGGAATCAGAATTGGATGAGCAGACTGGTGGAAGAGGGCAAGAGGAGATACTGGTGGGATCTTGAGAAAGGGCTAAGTGGCATGTCCCCTTACACCTTGCCTTGAGGGGTGAAAAAAGACAAACTTTAATAATAGAGAACACCTGTAGTTTATGGGAAATCCAGAAGTAGAGGTTTTGTTAAAAGGGGCTACAGACCTCTTACAAAAAGCTGTGGGACCAAGACAGTGCTGAGGCAACAGGTACAGACAGTGTCCACATGGAGGTTCTGCAGCCTCACAGAATGAACCGCAGTGCATGACAGTGTGGAGAGACCTGCTGAGACCTCAGAGTGTCCACAGGGGCATGGGGCTTCTGAGAACGCTGGCCGGCCGGCAGGGGTAATGCAAGATGAGTCCACAGAATCTTGTAGTGCCGAAGTAAGGAAGCACTACGCCTCTGTGATATTTTTTCACAAAATGTATAACCTCAGCCTTTTAAAAGCCATAATAATAATGAGAAGAGTTGCCTTTCAGCGTGCATTTATTCTCTGCCAGGCACTGTAATGAATGCTTTACTAATAGTATCTCAATTTCTCTTCCTATCAATGCCCACCGCTATCACCATTACTATTACAAGAAGCTGAGACTCGTATCAGTGGCACGTTTCTTCGGGCTACGGCAATTCTCGATGCACGTATGGATTGCAGAATCTCTCATAACAGCTCATGGGAAACCACAGCATTACTCACAGCATCCATTTTTAAAGCAGGTCTACATTCCATTACATTCTTACTTGTCTTCTTATATTTTTTCTGTATCTTCAAAATTTCAGTGATTCCCCTCTTTGTCACAGTGCCTTGATCTCTAGGAGAGTGTCTTTCAGATAAACAAGTGTCCAATAAAAATTTTTGATAATGCTCATTCCTGTTTTATAACAATGACATCATATTATGCATATTTTGCTTTCTTCACTCCACAAGATTTCATGAGAGTCTTTCCAAGCTAACCAGTATAGCTCCAATTCACTATTTTAAGTGGGACGTAGTATTCTATGGTACAAGTAGACCATAATACTTCTCTATTGCTTAGTGCGTTCTGTGCTCCTCCAATCCCCACCCCCCAAAATGATCAAATAAGCACTCTTATTTATTTGGTAATGCTTTTATTTTCAGGTGGTACATTGCTAAGATGAAGTGCAGAGTTCAAAGTATATACATTTTAAATTTTAATTGATGTTTTCAAGGTGCTTTCTAACACACTAGGAAATTCATATATCTGCCAGCAATGTGCTTTTTTGTTTATATTGCAAACACCAATAGCAGCTATTGGTTTATTTTGTTTTGCTTTAATTTTGGCCAATCCAAAAGCTGACAGTCCATTGACTCTCCTCACATAGTGACTATGAGCATCTTCGCATATTCTCAGTAGCTGCTAGATTTTTGTGCTATGAATTGTTTCTCTGCATCTTTTGTCTATTTTTATTGTCCTGCTCCATTGTTCTCCATTTAAAATAGCTCATTGTATTGAACCTGTCTTCTACAATGCAAGTCCACTTCACATCAGTTTTTAAACTCTAATTGTTTATGGTGTTTTTCATAGAAAAGTTTAAAAATTCTTCTGAAACCAAAGTTGTTTTTCTTCTCTTTCATGTTTTTTTTTTTTTACTGAGCATCTTTCCTGCTCCTAGATTGAATATGCTGTTCTCTAGGTTTCTTTTCAGAATTATAAATTAATTAGTTTATTAATTAACTTCTTTATTTAGACTTTTTAATTTCCCCAATATCTTCTTTTAGTATTTGTTAATATCAAATAATTTTTTCCTTCCT